TTGAGAAAGGTGTTATCTTCTTCTCCAGCGCTTTAAAAAGACACACCACATAATCAGAAGAAATAATTCAGAGGCCAAAATACTGTAGAAAAAGATAACAATCCAAGAATTGCAACACCACATACGCCAAAATATTTACCAGGTCCAGGAGAAATCAATACCCCTCTTGGATTTTTTCTGCAAGAGGGAGAGCATATTATAGGAATCAACACCAATTGATTAGCCATATTACGTTTTAAAACAGAATGCACATAGTTTCCTCTTACCTTTTCAGCTCCTCTACTGTAAGTTCATCATTGCGGTAAACTTCGAAATGGCATCCTAGCTCTCCCATATACTGTAGAAAAATATAACAATTCAAAATTTTGTTTATACTAAAGCAGAAGAAACCATATCAAGAGAACAATCACGATATATAGTATGCACCTCACACGATTCTGCATGGAGAACTAGAAGTAAGACATGATGAAATCGTATATTTGGGATATATGTGCGTTATGTGAGATATTTAGAGCAGCCAAAATTTCATGAGAAAACGAGATATTCAAACTACGAATAACCAATCTAATGTCAAAAATTGCAACTCATAAAATCACCAATTCAAACTTTGAACATGATTAAAGATTCTACTACAAGCAACAAAGAAGTGATGTATTCGATTTTATTGGATCAACCATTACTCCAGAGAACGAGGAGCTTTCCAAATAATAACAAAAGAAAAACACTATTCTCCAGAGAACTATAGTTTTTCGACAATAAGATTCAATGGCGCGACATAAAGTCTCTGATCACATTAACAAGAGAGAATCAACATTACATAGTCTTATCTATTAGCATGTAGAAACTAGATTGGATTTTGAAATAATGAGATTCTAATAATCAATCACAATGCATACAAAATGAAAATTCAGCTGCTTTTACACCAAACAGATTCAAAAACACACATAAAAAATCTTAACAGGCGTAGTGAGGATTAGAGATAGTGTTAGAAATGAAACCTGGCAGAGATTGTAAGTGAAGCTGTCGTAATTATCAATGACGATGATAGGACCATTCTGCTTAGAGGAATTGACAACAACGGAAGGTATCGAATTCGATTCCGCCATTTCCATCGAAGCTTTCGCAAACACATCTCTACGACTCTTCCCCAAAACCGAAACTCCTATCACAGAGGAAACAAAAACAGATAAGAATCGAAACTTTGATTCGAATAACGCCTCTATCTCCAAACCAAGATCAGCTGACTTACTTGTCGGATTCGTAAGAGGATTAACGAGAGAAGGGTTTAGTCGGCGAGTGGTGGAGCCAGACTTAGGTTGAAGAAGACAAGACTTGTACTGTGTAGTAGCCGCCATTGTCGGAGAAGCAAAGATCCTTGTTTGATTCCAAAAAAGAAGAGTTTATAAAAAGCTCTGAGAGAGAGATTGAGAAATTTGACAGGTGAAACGGTGCGTTTTTGTGGAACATGAACCATGTGCCTAATTAGTAGATGAGTAATTGATAAGACTCTGTTTTGTTTGGTCAAAGTCAAAATAATATTTATCTACAATGGCGGCTACACTATCGTCACGTACCTGAGCGAGAGTGGTAAGATAACGAAGGAACAGAGGGAACGAGGAAGACGAGTGGGACTGCAATAAGAACCGGCGAGAGCTCCGGCAAGAGATCCGGCGAAGAAGACAGTGAAAAAGGAATCAGAGAGGTTGAAGAAGACCTAAGTCTCAGTTTTTTAATAAAAGGCTTACGATAAAACTAGTCCACTTATTAATCAGGCCCACTTGAGCCCATTTGCTTAGTACTCGATTATAAAACTCTCGTCGTGGTCTTTGGTCTCCCTGTTTTTACTTTTTAGCCTAGACGCCGGAGATAGACGCCGGAAAGAGGATTAGCGAGAAACTCTTAAAAAAAGGCTAAATGCGATGTACGACCATGGAAGTAACGAAGTCGTGGCCCAGAAGAAACCGGCGGCGAATCGAAACCTAGCTAACGACGATATACTTGAGGAGCAAGCTACTGATTGTAAATATTTAAGATTTCAAGTAGGAAATGTTGAATGGATCATGATTAAAGATGGAGAGAAAAGATAGAAATGTATTGATTAAGAAGAGAGATTTCATGAGTAGGCGCTGTGTGGCTTTATATAGAACAGATTCTAGGTATGATGGGTTACGCACATTACAAGCATTACGTGGGTTACGCACATTACAAGCATTACGTCCTCATTCTCCCTTTACAAAGCGCACACTTTAGCCAGCCTTGATACAGCTCACTAACGGTCTTAGAACACAAGTAACTGTATTTAACATATAACTATTAATTAGTTCATGTTAAATACCTTCTTGATTAACACTCCCCCTCAAGTTTATACTACAATGCTAATTGTGTATAAACTTGGCACTTGCAAGAATAACCTCATTAAAAACCTAAGCTTGGAAAACCACGTGGGACAAAACCAAGCTTAGGGAAAAAGAGTATTATCCCTACAAGTTGGAGAGTCTTTCTCAAGGATGTGTGAGGTCTACAAGACCAAGTTTACCATGGATAAATTGGCAAACTTGGTTACTTGCTGCCTTGGTGAAGATATCGGCCAATTGGTCCGAGCTTTTAGTGTAACAAGGGAGAATGGTACCATCTTCTACCTTCTCTCTTGTCTTGTGGCAGTCGGTCTCTATATGCTTCGTTCTCTCGTGAAACACTGAGTTTGTAGCAATATGGATCGCCGCTTGATTGTCACAATGAAAGGTGATTGGAGTCTTCTGCTCGATCCCAAAGTCCTTCAGCAAAGCCTTTAGCCATGTTAACTCGTTTGTGAGTTTCTTCATAGCCCTATACTCTGCTTCAGCACTCGAACAAGAGACCACTTTCTGCTTCTTCGACTTCCAAGTCACAAGATTCCCACCAATGAATGTACAAAAGCCAGTTGTTGATTGTCTTGTGTTGCGATCGCCATTGTAATCTGCATCACAATATCCAACAATTTCTGTGCTAGAGTTTCTTCCCATCCATATGCCTTTGCCAGGACTTCCTTTGATGTATCTCAGAATTCTCTCCACCAAGCTCCAATGATAAACAGTGGGCTCTTTCATGTGTTGAGCTACCTGATTCACAGCAAAAGACAAGTCCGGTCGAGTATATGTCAAGTATATAAGCTTACCAACGAGTCTTCGGTATTGTTCTGGGCAATGGTAAGGAGTGTCATCTTTCTCCCCCTTTCGATTGACCTTGTAACCTTGCTCCAATGGTGTATCAACTGGTTTAGCTCCAAGCTTCCCTGTAAGTTTTAGAAGATCAAGAGCATATTTCCTTTGTGAGAGAAACAGTCCCTCCTTGGATCTACACACCTCGATCCCTAAGAAATACTTTAACACACCCAAATCTTTAATATCAAAAGCCAAGTGTAAAGAAGACTTAATAGCTTGGATACCTTCTTTGTTACTGCCCGAGATAATCAAGTCATCAACATAGATCAACACTACTACGATTCCTTGATTATCTTGTTTAGTAAACAAAGTGTGATCCGAATGTGACCTTTTGAAGCCTTCTCTAAGCAAGGTTGAACTCAACTTGTGGTACCAAGCTCTTGGGGATTGTTTGAGGCCATATATAGCTTTTCGAAGTCTTAAAACCTTTCCCGGAGCCACTATGTCTTCTAAACCCGGAGGAGGTGTCATATAAACTTCTTCTTTCAACTCCCCCTGAAGGAAAGCATTCTTGACGTCCATTTGCCACAATTCCCAATCCAAGTTCACAGCCAAAGATAGAACAACTTTTACGGTGTGTTGCTTAGCTACCGGAGCAAAAGTTTCCCTATAATCCTCTCCATAGGTTTGAGTGAATCCTCTTGCAACCAATCTAGCCTTGTGTCTTTCAATTTCACCATTACTCTTATACTTTATGGTGAAAACCCACTTTGAGCTAACACATCTCTTCCCTTGTGGAAGTTCTTCTTCATCCCATGTATGATTCCGAATCATAGCTTGTACTTCATCATCCACAGCATTAGTCCATTCCTTTCTTTCCTTGGCTTCCTCATAGCTTTGTGGGATGAATTCCACATCTAGCTTACTAAGAAAAGCTTTATGTTCCTCGGGAAGAAGGTCAATCGAACATGTCGCTTAATGGGGTGAGCAACAGCTTGACAATTGAAGAGAACCTTAGGCTTCTTTGCCCTTTTACTTCGTCTTGGGTTTTGTAACGTGTAGACCGGTTCATTTGTTGTTTGAGGAATTGAGTTAGTCTCTTCTTCGCTTGATGATCTAATGACTTCATCTTCACTTAGTGGACGATCTCTTCTTCACTAGATTCTTCCCCTACAACATTCTCATGGTTACCATGCGACGACTCTATTGGTGTTTCAACTTCACTTTCTTGAGTCCCACTTGTAACTTCGCCTGGTATCTCTTCCGTAGTGTCTTGAGGTATGTTAACATTACCCAAATGCTCAAGAATGTGTTTAAGACTCTTTGCTCTATCCGAAGTTGAGTTAGGTAGGTCCTTTACACTCTCCCAATTCTTTTCTCCGAAATACGCCTTGTCTTCCATGAATTTCACATCTCTAGATACATAGTATCTATTATTGGTTGGATCAAAGCATTTGTAGCCTCTTTGAGTAGTGGAGTATCCGATGAACACGCACTTGGTACTCTTGGGCTCTAGCTTATTCCTTAAGTCACCTGGAATGAATACAAAACAAACACAACCAAACACTCTCAAGTGCTCAATGTTAGGGTTTTGGTTATTCAATACTTGAAAAGGTGATTGATCATTAAGAACTCTAGTTGGAATTCTATTAATAAGATAACAAGCGGTCATAACCGCATCACCCCAAAACCTCTTAGGCATATGCTTATGAAATAGCATTGCTCGTGAGACCTCCATGAGGTGTCTATTCTTCCTTTCCGCAACACCATTTTGTTGAGGGTTGTATGGGCAGCTTGTTTGGTGTAAGATCCCACACTTTTCCAAATGGGCTTTGAGCTTGGTGCTCGTATATTCACCTCCATTATCTGTTCTAAGAATTTTGATCTTTGCATCAAAGTGATTAGTCACATAGTTTTGGAAGTTTAGAAATGCATCATAAACTCTGTCCTTAGATGGAAGCAAAGTTACCCAAGTATACTTAGATTTCTCATCTATGAATGTCACAAAGTATTTATGATTATCTCTAGATGCACAAGGTGAGGTCCAAACATCCGAATGCACAAGATCAAAACACTTCTCATAAATAGCATTAGACTTAGGGAAAACCGTTTTGCAATGTTTACCTAAGATGCATGCTTCACAATGAGAACAATCATAAGATAAACCGGGTAATAACAAGTTCAAAGCTCTAGAGTGTGGATGGCCAAGTCTATCATGCCACAATACAACTGAAGTCTTAACATTATTTGCGGAAATAGAAGAGTTTAAAGAAGTGTCTTCAAGAACATAGAGATCATCCTTGGTGCCTCCTTGTCCAAACACAGTACCGCTCTCAATATCCTGCAACTTAACATCATTAGGACTAAAGATAGCAAGACAATTTAAGTCCTTAGTTGTTTTCTTGACCGAGAGCAAGTTAGAAGTGAACTTAGGCATATAGAAAGCACTAGACTTCTTGTTAAACAAGGTTATGCAACCTATTCCTTCTATTGGAACATTATGACCATTTGCAACCTTAACATTCCCTAGTGCCGGTTTAACATTCTCTAATAACCTAGGATTACTTATCATATGATGAGAAGCTCCGGAGTCTAACACTAATGAATTTGAATCATGAGAGTTAGAGGTAAAGAGAGAGATACCGCTGGGATGCATTTTGGATGCTATGGATTGAAGAAGAGCTTCAAGATCGGCCTTGTTCATGGTGATGGTTTCTTGAGCTTGAGAGGTAGAAGTGGTACATCCCTTGTCTTGAGCAGTAGCTCGCATTGCTTTCTCTTGATATCCATATTGCACAATGGCCCTCTCTTCATTATCAAGTAGTCCTCTTTCACTTGTGTTTGCTACATTAGCTCTCGGCTTGGAGTTCTTGAACTTTTCCGGCTTCAAGTGAGGGTGTAGGATCCAACACTTGTCTTTGAGGTGACCCTTCTTCTTGCAATGATCACAAAACCAAGTCTTTTTATCATCTTGTTTCACCATCCCGACCTTGTTTGCCGTTGGAAGACTCTCTCCTTTGCTACCAAATAGACCTTGCGAACCATACTCCCTTTGTATCTTTGCACACACTTGTTCTAAGGTAGGGATCTTGTCATCTCTCAAGATGTGTTGGATCACATCCGTGTAGCTTGAATTAAGAGTCAACATCAACCCAAAGACAAGATCTTGTTCCCTACGCTCCTTAAGTGTCTTTGCATCCGTAGTGAATGGCCTTAGCATCTCTAATTCAGCAACAAGCGATCTATACTTCCCAAAGTGAGCATTAAAGTCGCTATCTTCTTGACTTAGTTCCCCTAGAGCCTTCTTAATCTCATAGATCCGAGTCAAATTTGATTCATTACCAAACACATTCGCGAGAGTATCCCAAAGCTCCTTGGATATCTCACAATACGAATACCCTTCTAAGATAGAAGTTTCAAGGGAGCAATGCAAAGCACTAAGGACATTCAAGTCATCTTGCTTCCATGTGTCTTTGTCAATGCTTTCATCCAAATTCTTCAAGTCTTCAAAGGTTGATTCAATGTGATTTGTGAGCCTCCTACTGCCGAGCACATTAGTAGTTGTCCTCT